ATTATATATTCATTGATATAATCATCGACTAATAAAATCATCACAAATCATTCTTATACAAAACGAAAAACATTATAATAATAGATCAACTAAAATCTCATATAAATTTGAGAATAAGGCAAAGATGAATTTTATTTTTAATAATAAATTAGAAGAACACATTCATAGTATAAGGAAATTATAGATTATAATTTTAATCAACTTGATTTTATATCTAGTATACAGCTCATTTCACACAAATGCTTTGGAAAGATTAAGAAATGTATATTAATGTTGTTCAATATAATCCATCAGACAACTATCATCAAACATATAATACAGATGTTTTTCATGTTAAATCTTAACTAACTCAATAAATCATTGATGTTTCTTTTTTTATTTTAATATTAATTGTGTTTTTCTTCCTATCACTTTAACCTCGCACATTAAAAATATCTGTCAATCGTACAGTAATTATAATTTAGAGATCAATTTGCATTAGTCATGCACATATATAAATCTAAAATACACCTATGTCGATGTAGAAAAATAAAAAATATATAACAATGATTTCATATTTTGTATTCTCCTATACTATCGTATTATCATTTTTTGAAAAAATAAGGTTTGTAGATATATTTATTTCTATTCCAAAGCTTAGTTTTATTAACTTTGTCGCTTTTGATTATTCACTCATCAACCAATACAGAAAAAAATAAATCATAACGTTTGAGAAAATAAATAAAGTCAAAAGAAAACAAAATATTATTTTTCATAATTAAATTCCAACCATAAAAATAATGTTTTGCTGGAGGTTAATACTATAATTTACTCTGATTAAGATTATGATGTTAACACCTTGGCAAAATATTGTTTTTTAATCATTACTGTTTAGTATTTATCATATTAATCCTTTGTGGACTCGTTCTTTTTCTCTATATTTTATCATAAATCAATCAACAGTTCTATTTTCAAAACAAAACTTTATGAAAACATGTATTCAGAAATTTTTTGAAGTATGATACAGCTCAAAACACAATACAACACTACATTTAACACACTCATAAGTTATTTTAGTTTCTTTCTTTGGAGCTGTTGTTATATTATAGCAGATATCACAGTTTCTTCTCCTTCTTCTTTCAGATGTATGTTCAGCTGAATAATCTCGGATGAGTGAAAGTGTCGAGAAGTAAGTTTCATCAGATTCGGTAAAGGTGATCTTCCTTTGTTTTCATTCTTTTGACTTTCAACAGATCCTATAATGGTCGAATTACTTTCAGTCAAAATTTTAGACAAAGATTCTAGCTTACATAGTTTTTCGACTGAAAGTCAGTTTTGTTATATTTATTATCTATCACTGGATATCTAAATAAAATAACCAAATTAAAATCTAAATTACACAAAAATCTCTCTGATAAATGCTTCAACAAAAACCAGTCTCATACTAAAATTTGTGTGTTTTGAAATATCAAAGAACAACCATCTCTAACGCGTTAAGATATTACATCAATATTCTTCTTTTGTAACAATTCAAAAAAATCGTTTCTATTTCTATGTTTATATAGGTAATGAATTATTCTATATGACAATAAACAGCTTCTTTTACTACAACAACTCCATCACTTCGATACTATTCTTTGCTATTAAGAATATTTTCCTGTTTTTGCACAAAATAAACTACAATCACATATAATATATAATTAGTTATAATTGAGAAATAGCATTGTATGATAACCTATTTCGTTTTCTCTTTTCTACATCAAAATTATGTTAATATTAACACAACACAGCTACAAATAAATATATACACATATGATTTCATCGTTTATTTTTGATAAAGTAACAACATAAGTATAATTATTTACCTTAATTCTATTTATTTTAATAAACAATAAATGTAAATATATGAACTTCTCTCTATATTATAAGGTTTCTTATGAACATCAATGTAGAATATTAATATTTATTTTATATACATATGGTGTGTCAATCCTAATTCACATTTGCACTACAATATTAAATATACATCTGTGTATATTTTTGAAAATCAAAATAATTCAATTAAGTAATGTATATAATACAATATAAATCAATTTCAAAGTAAATTAAAATAAAGATACAATACAATTTTAACAAAGATTCAAAAGTATTTTTACATTGTCTGCACCATATACTGCAACTGCAATATCTTCCCAACCATCATTATTTAAATCTTGAAAAATTATCCAATTTGGGTCAGAATTAAAACCTAATGGATACCATGTTTGATTAGTGAATCTTCCATCACCAGTACCAAAAAGAATACATATATTATTTGTACCATAATTTGCTACTGCAATATCTAATTCATAATCTCGATTAAAATCACCAACAGCAACTGATACTGTTTGAGAACTATCACCCATTGAATAACTCTGAAATAAAGAAAAATCTCCATTACCAGATCCCATAAATACAAGAATATTATTTGTTCCAGAATTTGCAACTACCAGATCCATCATAGAATCTTTGTTAAAATCTCCAATAGCTAATGATGATGGATAAGAATTAGTACCAGTTGAATAAAGTGTACTATTTAAATACATTCGATTTCCACATCCAAGAAGAATACCAATTGTATTTGTACCATAATTAGCTGTAGCAATATCAATTTGACTATCATTATTAAAATGACCAACAACAACTGATGAAGGTTGTGAACCTTCATTCAACATCAATATTGTTTGTCCACCAAAAGGTTGATTACCAGATGCTAGAAATACTTGAATATCATTTTTACTTGCATCACTAATAAC